GGCTGAGGACCTCTTGTCTGTCTGTGCTTTAGGGAGATGCGATTTGGTGCCTGGCAAGTGGATTTTCAGATTAAGAGTTATTTTCCCAAAGTAGAGAAACAGAACTCTGTTCAGGCCTGAGGAACCAATTGAAAATGATGAATCTGCTCCTGGTAGTTACAACGTAAGTACAAGTGAAAGCCATCTAATCAGGTCTGAGAAGGCGTCTACTACCCAAATTAAAAATGATCACAAAGTCTCTAAGAAATATTATATCCATTGTAATTAATGCTGCAGCTTGTCCTCTGCGAGCAAGTATCCTTGGGTTCTCAAGAGATTAATGACTCTGAAGTCATCAAAGTAGCAAGATATTTTAGTTTTTTTTTTTTTTTAAATGTATTTAGTACAGGGTCTACAGGGTCTCACTACATAGATCATACTCATAGTGCTCCTCCCGTGTTCAGCCTCCCAAGTGCTGGGATTACAGGCTCATGCCACCACAACCAGTCTCAATCGCTGTCTGAGTGTGCCTCCGGGGGTGGGCTGGCACAGCAGGGCAGTGCTTTAATCTGCTGTGCTATCTGGCCGGCCCTCCCACAAGACATTTTAAAGCCAAATTTTATAAATTAAAAAATAATTTTCTTGGGCCAGGGAGGTAGCTCAGCGGCATAAGTGCCTGCCTGGTAAGCACAAGGTCCTGAGTTTGATCTTGGGGTAAGGGGTGGTAGTAGAGTGGTGGGAGGGGAGAATCTTGTAGAATTAAGGAAAACACTTCTAAATGATTGGGGTTTTTTTGTTTTTGGTTTTTTTTTTTAATAAATCTTCATACTTTATTTATTTATTTATTTATTTATTTATTTTTGTGTGTGTGTGGCCAGCTCAGCCCACCAGGGGGCGGGGCGGGCTGGCATGTGGTGCTGGGGGATTGAACTGTGGTCCCTGTGCTTTGCTAAACTTGTTCTAAGTAGTTGCTTTGGACCACTGAGCCATCTCGCCAGCCCTAAATGATGGTTTTATCATGTTCTTTTTAAAATCCACAGATCCCATTCCTGTAGCCACTTTAAAAATGTTGCAGCCCAAATTGTCCTCTCTTTATTTCTCTATCCTCTTCTACTTAAAAATATGTTGCCAAAAAAATTAATCTGGAAACAAGTGTTCTTCCTTAAGAATAAGCAAACAATTGTGGGAGGTTCATAGCTAAACTTATATTCTGCAGCTGACCAAAAACAAGGCTCCATGTTCCATATCACAAATTAAAATCTGGCTCCTTTTGTTTGTGTCTCTTTTTGGCTAGTGGGGTGGAGGTTACTTTTTACCTTTAATTACTGCACAGGGAATACTTTCACCATATGACTTATAAGACTGCAAAGTTTTCATTGCATTTTTATTACCAAAACATGAATAATGCATTCAGCCCTGAAATGTCACAGTGAACATCAAATGGTTTTACATAATTCATTCTTGCTGGAGTTTCCAGCAGCCAGCAATCCCGGAAGAAGCGTTTGGAAATGAAAACTTGATACAAATTTGTCATTTACCCAGAAGGGATAAAATAAGTGGCAGAAGAATACATAGAGAGGAAAGACTGAGGAATGGAAGATTTTTTTTTCCTAACCATAAATAGGAGGACAAAGCAATAGTGTACTTGCCGCTGGGGACACGTAGAACAAAAAACAGAAGGTAGACAGAAGCAAATGGGGGAGGCAGGAGGTAGGAGGAAGGATATTAGAAATCTTATAAATACAGGAAGTAGGTCACCATTTAATCATTTTTTTAAAATACAGGAATTGAATTTGAAACTGCAGCACAATGGTATCACAGTTTGGAACCCCAGTAAAAATGTAATAATTTTCAAGGGCCATTTTCAAATTTTTTTTTTTCTGTCTTCTGATTGAAATGAATAGGAATAGATTACAACAGCTGTTAGGATTCTGCCTTCGGGTAGTGTGCTGACGGGTGACAGAGCTCATTTCTCAGGCGACATATTGATAATCTGCCAGAAATAAGCGTTCATCTCCCATAGGGAGCAAACTGTTAATTGTCTGCCTAATAAATGTCCCCCTTTTCTCTTGTTAATAGAACTACTAAAAATCAGGGCCCCAATATCGTCAGCAGTGCCATGGCTAAAGCAGAACTTCCACTGTGTGCGTACGAAGTGAGCAGAAGAGATGCCTCCTCCAATCACCAGCAATTAGTTTAATTAACAATCGCTTGAGAAATGTTAATATTGAACTTAATTTTTAAAAACTTACTCGATTCTTTTTCTGTCATTGATTTCTATCTATTCTTCCCATCTCTCAGGTTAGCATCTCTGAGACACACTGACAATTCCTGCCTTCTACATTTCTCCATTCTACGTACAGCATAAGCCTTTTGAGAACAAAAGTCTTATCTGGGGGGGAGAAGCCTCATCCTAGCCCCCCAGGGCAAGTCATCATGATAATTCTACTCCTCACTGCACCTAGTGATTGGTCCGGGGCGAGAATGCATATTGTTTTCATTGCTGCTGTAACAAATCACCATAAATTTATTAGAAGTTAGGTGCATTTTTCTTGGTTTCTCTGCTATGGTTCTGTAGACAATTCAAGATGGCAGCTGGTTAGGCTCTTATCAAGATGATCTGGGAGGGGTCTGCTCACAAACTTATTTATGTTGTTGGCAAAAACTAATTCCTTCTGGTTGTAGGATGGGGCCCTCTTGTTGGCTATAAATTGGTGACTAAAGGGATTTTTGCAGTCTTTGCACAGGAACCCTTCCATCTCAGCAGGATGTTAAGTCCTTCACACTTGCAATCATTCTATTTCTGCATCATCTCTCACTCCAGCTAGAGTAAGTGCTCTACTTATGATGAGCTGTCCAGTAAGACTGGATTGTTGGGCAATCTAGTTTGGTCTAAAATCTTCAAACTTAACTATATCTGCATATTCATGAGTTACAGAGATTAGAGTTGATTTTCATTGGGTCCATCATTCTGTCTACCCTAGCATTCTGTCTACCAGTGGGCACTTATAAAAAAGGGGTAAAAGTCTAATGAGAGATTTATCTTCTGGATAGAAAGAGGGAGATTCTGTATTATTCATTTCCAGCAAGAGAGGCTGATGTGGGGACCAGGCATAGAGCTTAGCAGCTACATTGTGAACAGAAGACATGAAGAGTAAGGATAAAAAGTCACTGTATCCAGGATGGTGAGGCAGGAAACTAGAAAGTGGCTGGATTTCTTATGATGCTATTGAGCAGCAGAAAAAACGCCATTGATTGCTTGTGTCTGGGTGGCTTGTCATTTAATTAGCCCAGCTTTCTGTTACTGGCAACTAAAACCAGTTCTAAGTGGTATATTCATCTTACCCTAATCTCTCAACCTGTACTTTTCAATGTTTTAAAATGTAGTGTTGGCCAATCTGATTAAATTTATTTGTATTGTGTTACACTGCACAGTAAGTATCCACCATGGTGTGTCCAATGACAGCTTAACTTTTAAGATTGTGCTTTTAATTACGGAGTTGAGGAAAAGGGTATAGGGTTTGGCAAATGATAGTCCATTAGACAAGTCCTGCCAACAGAAGAAGGGAGAGCAAAGACAAGTTTTTACATTTTTAAAATTTGTGATATAAAAAGAAAATGTGGCCATAGGGCTGAAAACATTTATTATCTTGTCCTTTACAGAAAAATCTTGTCAGCCTCTGCAGAGTCACACAGAGGACTCTTCTCATGAAGTGGAGATAAGCATAGGAAAAAAAGGAATGTCACTAGGTCAGTAATGAATATTTTTTGAAAATTATTATAGATCACCAATGTGAAAGCTTTTGGCACAGGCAAAAATGAATTCTATCTCTAAATTCAATTCCTTTTCATTTTAGCTCAGTTTATTAAATTTCTATTATTGCAAGACTATGAAAGACACAGGGGTTATGTAATGAATAAAATAGTCTCCATGTAGCTGAAAACTGCTCAAGTATCTCTGAGAGAAATGGTCTATGCAATACTTCAGGAAAAGATAAAGGCTTGCATACAAAGGATTAAAAACATTGTATTCTTTTCTGTTTTGGTGGTGCTAGTGACCAAAAGAGGCCTTGGTACATGACAGAAAATTGTTCTTAGGTTGGGCATGGTGGAGCATACCTGTAATCTCAGCACTTCATTCTTGCTATTCTTTTTTGGTTTCACCCTTTCTTCCCTGGACTGCTGTAGTGGCTGCCTATCAGCCTCCCGACCTGAGTTTTCTCCTCTTTCTAAGCTATTCCCAACACAGATCCTTCCTCTACTAATGAATATTCTCTTATCAGTGTCACTTTCTCTGATCAGTCAGCATTAACGTTTCTTGATAGTCCACTACATTAGGTGGGATTCCCATAGAGATACCAGTATCAACACTACACGATACCCCCACTCCATTTCCTTCCATATAGTCAGAGAGCTCATAATTCAGCGCAGGGAGGATGATTTATATTACAAAATTAGAGCAGAAACAATTGCCAAGTTTCACCATGTCCTTTTGTTACCAAATTGTTATTCATTTCTTCAGTCACTGTTATGTTCCAGCTAATGCTGTTAATATTGCATTGTGCGGACACTTCCTTCCCTGCTCCCCCTAAGGCAGCATCTTTCAGACCCAAGGTCCCCTCCTATGCCTTAGGATTCAGGACCAGATACAAAAGATCCCCAGGCGGGGAGAATATTATTGAGACCACAAAAATATAATCTGTTTGTCCTTGTTCATTTTGGGAGCGACTAGTACAAATAAACTGTACTCCTAACCATTACGATTCACCCCAAGACGACTACAGAAGTTTTACTCCAGTAGAGCAGGATTAACAAGGGCCTTTGATCGTCAAAGGGTCAACGCACAGCGTTGGGAGGCGAGGGGCATTGTGGGAGCGCCGCTCGTCGCCCCTCAGACTCATGGGAAGTGTAGTTCAGCTGTCGTCAACATGGCCGCGCCCAGGTGAGCTGCTGTTCCTGCACTGCCCACAGCTTTCTGGGGCTAGACTGGACAGGCCAGCGAAGGAGGGAGAAGCAGCGTGGTGAGAGCTTGGTCTGAGTAGAGGAGGAGATCTGTGGCACCATTTGGCGGTCGGCGCGACAGGCTGCTGATTCCCACTTCCGCTTTTCAGCCTCTTTTCGTGCTTTTCTGCGTGGCCAAGGTGGGGTGAGAGCCCATGGGAGGACGGCGCGGGCTGCAGTGTCATCTGCGGGCCGTGGTGCGTTAACGTGCCAGGTGCGCTGTGTTGGAGGTAGGGCGCCCGTGGTGTCTGCGCCCGCCGGGCCCAGCTCTTCGGGGTGGAGGCGGGATCTGCCGCCTGCGTCGGGTTAGTTTGGCGCCGCCAAGGGCTCGAAGCGAAGACGTCGCTCCTGGCGTCTCGTCGCGCACGCGCCGCGGGGCTCCTGTGCCCTGTTGGAGCGGCGCCGTGCTGGGGTCTTGGATGGGGAGAGGTCAGCCTGGCTTCCGATCGATGTCACTGAACACTAGCTGTGTGCTAGTCTCTGAGTCAGGGCCTTGAAGTGCGTGATGGTCTCCGGGTTGCCCCAACAGGTAAGTATAAGAAGTGAGAAAACTCCAAAGATAGAGATAAACACTGGGTTTTAATGAACACGTTGATGAAGACCACCAAGCAGAACTCTGAAAGACAAGTTTAGGAGTTAGGGTGGTAAATTCTGTTTAGGCTTAGTAAACAAACACTTAATGAGTGACTGTGAACTACTAGACTCTGTTCAGGTGCTGAGTGCTACAAGGTGAATAGTATGAACAAACTCTCTACTTCGTGGGTGGATTTAACATTAGGTTATACACAGTGTACTTCCAGGACTTTGAAAGGGATAGTGTGATAAATGACCGAGTGAATCTTTCCTGCTTGTTTAAGGGTTTTATTTTCTTTTAAAACAGGTAGTATATATATATTTTTTGTTTTGTTTTGTTTTTGAATTGGGGCTTCACTGTGTCATCCAGGCTGAACTCACTCTGTAGCCCAGGCTGGCCTTGAACTCATGGTGGTTCTCCTGCCTCAGCCTCCCAAATGCTGGGATTACAGGCTTGGGCCACTACAACTGGCCAGGTAATACAAATTGAGTTGCAATTAAAATTCAAAAGTCATGCATGAAAGACAGAACACATGTACCCATTTTCTCTCTCTGGGGGCAACCCATATGACAAATTTGTGTGTTCTAAGTATTTACATATACTTTGCATATCTGTGTTGTGCTTTAAAATCAGGTCTCATTTGATAGGAATTTAGTTCTTTTCTAATTGTTGCTGTTAATTGTAATTTACGTACAAGCTCAGGAACATTTTTCTGTACTGTTTGGTTCATAATCTGTTACTCAAGGAGGGCATGGATTCGCATGCTTCTGTTACTACCTGGGCAGTGTCCTAAACAATGTATTGGGGGTTAAACTTGCTTGTAAGCAAATAGCGGAGCATGTATAATCTTCAAATTATTCTTCTCCTGCAGATATATGCTCAGGCTAGAGGTGGCTACCCTGAGCCCAGAATGGCTAGCGTCCTATTTAGTGAATAGTAACCTTACTTTCATAATGTGGCAAGGAACACTGAAGTAGGTGTGTAGTTCTAGGGGAAGCTCCTTGGCTAGAAAAATGGCCTTGATAGAAAGGGGCACTTCTAGATCTTAGCAGCTGGTAGCAGCCTATTACTTGTTGAAACAACTCAGATCTAGTAGGTCCTTATATTTCCAAGCCACTGAAATGGAAAGCTGAGCCTCAGAGGCTATTTTGATTTGACTCTGTCTGTAATACAAAGTATGTGATTGAGAAGGAAAAAGGAAACGGAATGACAAAATTGTGGTTGTGAGGCTCCATCTGCTGGTGCTGTTCTCTTAGTGGCAGACTTTTGAAAAGATTTACTCAGCATCTTTTCATCTTTATTTCTTCTATACTGCAGTCTTTGTTCCTGTGAATCATTAGGAAAAAGATTTCTTAGTGTCTCAGCCCTTGTTTTCCACGACATGCTGCTAAAGTCGCTGTTTCATAGGTGGATACCTTAGAATTGAATACTTGCTAAATAATTCCTTTGAGGACTCTTGGCTGTTTTTGTTTTGTTAAACCATTTTCATCTGACTCTTCTAAACCTAACAGTAGTGTACCAATAACTAAATTTAATCCTTCTAACAGAGTTCTTGGAGGGATAATTGATGTCCTTCTCCATATTTATAGAAGCTGAAGCAGAGCTATATAATCACCTCAACTAGGATCATGCAGCTGCCAGCTCTACTAGTATATGTTAGAGCTAAGAATTGAACCTGGAACTTGGACTCCTGAGCACTGTGGTATACTGCTTCATAGCACAGAAGGAGGCTCTGGGGTAACTGTGAAAAGAATAATTTAATCCTTGTCCTCATAGTCCAGTGGAAGGGACAGATATTAGTACAGTTATTATAAATAGCGCAATGTTAGACGTATCCAGTCAGTTCTTCCTTTTCTCTGTAATGATGACTCCTGAAGGCTTCTAACCTCATTTCTTTTCTTAGGAGCCACTTCATACTGTCACATGCCGTCCATTGCAACTGTAGGTCTCACCTGTTCCTTAAACATCATGTTCTAAATCTGACGCATTACCTCCCTTCCTGAATGGCTCTTCCCTGCCTTTCTCCTGACTTTCCAGCTCTGAAATCATACCACGAGTGTATCAGTCACTTAAGCTTTCTTCCGCTGGTGACCTCTGATTCTGTCTTCCTCACACCTGAGTAGTCATCAAGGCCTGTTGGCCCTACCTGAACTCTACCCCCACCCTTCCCTACTCCTTTTTCTTCCCTTCTCAGACTCCAGTGTACATCAGGCCAGTGTTTCTGCTTACCAGGCTGGATTGTTTCAGGGCTTCTCTCTAACTTCTGCCATTGCTCCACCAGCCTGTTTTACTGGCCTTTACCTTCTGTCACCTGTGTCAGCAAGTTTTCTCTGCTTTAAAATATGTGCTGACCTCTCGCTGTCTTTGCCAGATAAGGGCAGTTCTGTTTTAGCTTCTGCTGTTTACCATCTCACCAAAAATCTTTTCTGTGTGACTTTATGGTGTTCTTATCCTTCAGGACTGAGCATGAGTTGCCTTTTGATTTGAAGTCTTCCCAACTTTTCCAGTTAACATTGATCTTATTTTTGTTCTCTTGCTCATGTCACTGAGTGACCATACAAGTAACATTCAGTCAGAGAAAGGGACGTCAGATGACTTCACTGTTTAGTGTTTGTTCTCAACTTAGAACCTTGTTGAAAGCCGTGATTTGTGTGCTGCAGGATGCCGAGGTCAAAACGAGCATGTGTGTATTCACTGATTTTTCAGGTATCTCTTCAACAGATGTTCATTTTGCGCCCAGTATATGCGAGGTTTCCCACTCTCTTTGAGCATATTCCATGACAGGGGAGTCAAGCTAACAGATAAACCTTCATAAATTGTGCTCTTGAGTGAAATTGGCTGCTATGCTAAAGCAAGATGCAGGGTGCAGGTTTAGAGTGATTATAAAGGCCTCTTTGGGAGTACTTAGTAACTGTGGTGACATACTTCAATAAAGTGAAGGCATAGTTTTATGGGGTTCCTATTTTTGTTATTTAAATATTATAAGATATATAGTATGCAGTTTAAAAAATGATAAAGCCAACATCCATACCTGTTGTCTAGCATAAGAAATAGCTTTGATGCTCCTGTGTGTCACATCTCATAGATTTCTTTCCCTCCCCTTTCCTTGCTGGGCATCGTGATACATATCTGTAGTCTAGCACTCAGGAGGCTGAGGCAGGAGGATTGCTTCCAGTTTGAAGCCAGCCTAGACCATATAATGAGTTCAAGGTCAGCCTAAACTGCACAGTGAGACTTTGTCTCAAAACAAAACAAAACGAACAAAAAAGAACCTCTTTCCTGAATTTTTTTGGTTAAAATTTCTGTGCTTTTCTTTTTTTATATGCATTAAATGATAAATGGCTTGCTTTTGGATTTTGAGCTTTAAGTGGAATCATACTGCATGTCTTGTGTCTTCTCTTCTTCCTTCTTTATCTTAGCTTATATTGTGATTTGACTTTTTCTATGCTATGTTGTATGTAGGACTTCATAAGTAATAAGATAGCCTACCTTTATGAAAACAGCACAATTTTATTTATTTATTTTTGTATTTTAGGGAAGGGTCTACAGGGTGTTCAGGGTCTCACTACTAGATTGGACTTGTAGTGATCTGCCTGTTTACAACCTCCCAAGAACTGGGATTACAGGCGTGTGGCACCACGCCCAGGCTAGCATAATTTTTTAAAAATGTAATACTGGGAATTAAAGGTAAGACTTTCATACTGAGCCACATCTCTATCCTTTTTATTTTTTATGCTGAGACAGGGTCTCCTTAAATGGCTGAATTGCCCAGGCCAGGCTGGAAATTTTGGTCCTTCCACCTGATCCTCCCAGATTACTGGTTTTACGGGCTTGTGCTGCCATACTTGGTGAAAAACAGTGCATTTAAGGAAGCCACACGTAGGAGCGTATCTTAGAATTCTCAACTGTGTTATTAGCTGCTCTTACTTCTTTGCATTGTAGTCTTAGGTATTCCTTTATTTCCATGTCAGTTCTCACCTGTCTGGGTTGGTGAAAGGTAAAGTAAGGATTTTTTCTTAAAAAGTCATACGGAAAATTTACAAACTGCTAATATAACATAATTATTTCTTCAAAACTTTTTTTTTTCCTTCAAAACTCTTAAGGTTGACATTTCAACTTCTTTTTATTTTGTAGTATTGCTATGGAGGTCAACTGTCAAAGTAATTTCAAACTCAGTAAAGGTGAGAAGAAGTCCTTAAGGAAACAAAATAAAGCCAGGCATACTTTGCTGAGACACGAAGGTATTGAGGCGGTGTCCTATAGCACTCAGGTGACCTAAAACTCTTGTTATGATTTTAATGTGAACATACTGATGTTAATGTATTGTGTTAATATTTTTAATAATTGCTCAAGGCTGTGATTGGCCCATCATGTGTCTTATCCATGTTCAGTATATCTGTGATAAAACCTAACTTTGTGTGCTGGGTCATATGCTAGCCTGTAATTTGTTTTGCTTTGTATTAGCGGTGCTAGGAGAAGGGTGTTTGATTTCAGGGTCTTTAGCTTGCTAGGCAGGTGCTTGCTACTGAGCTACAGCTGCAGCCCTTTAACCTGTGATTTGAATATTTATTATTTGGACTAATCAGAGGAAGTTGTGGGTATCCATCAGTTACAACACTGTACAAATCTTTTCAGTTGGTAAAGCATACTTAGATGCATTACTATATTTAATTCCCTAAAATCTTTTTGAGATAAGTGAGAAAACTGATTGTAAGAGGTTACATATTCATTGACATAAAGTAGTGACTCAATAGAAATATAAAACTAGTTCTTTTGTATCCTAATGTCTTTCTGCTATTTCCAAACTGACCTGTATTATATTTTGGTTACCTACTCCCAAACATTTTTTGTTTATTAGGCCTTTTCATTTTTGATGGCAATAATTAAATGAAATTATGTATGAGAAGCTGTGCGTTTGCCTCTGTTATGCTTCCAGAACTCACTTCTCCACTTATTTAGACACGAGCATTACCCTTCAACTTTGGCTGTCTTCGTTTATAAATAGGGTAGAGTGTGTGGTACTATATATGGTGTGAAATATTTTTTACTCCACTGGATGGTTAGATTCTGAACAGAATAGGTGACAATATTTATAGACTTAAAAATACTATATGAATACAAGGAAGTTTTATGGGGTGCTTTTTGGTTCCTGAAGGTACAGAGTAAGTGGAAAAGAAGCTTACATAGCCTCTTCACTGAGGGCCAAAGATACTCACTGAAGTGGAGATGGGATTGAACCTTAGGTGTCTTGATTCTCAGACTAGTTCCTTTCTTCTGTTTAGCATGTTGTCTCCTGCTGCATCAGAGTTCAGGAATAAGCAATGTGCTGATCATCATTTGAGTTTAACAGATAAACAGTTCATACTCAGATATTAATGATTTTAGGGAATTTCAGTTAAATTCATGTAAAAAGGATAGGTTAGATAATAGATTCTGCATATTTGCACTCAGCCCAGAGCCACTGAGGCTGCGGCATTGAGATGATTGAGCTCCAATGGCCTGCTCACATCTCCTAAGGTAACTCGGTTTCTTAGTTACAGGACTCACAAAGAGAAGCGTAAGAAAACCATGGGCTGGTTCTTTGTTGCTTCTGAAGCTTGCTTCTGGTTGGGCCTGCCTTTTCTTCAGGATCCCCAGAACTCTAATCTTACTTGTACAGCTTCCAAAGGGGCATCTAGCTTGCACTTTATTTTTCTCCTGAATATTTTTTTAAGGAAAATAATTTGATTTTAGAGGGTCCTTTAATTGTATTTATTCATCCATGGAGAACAAAAATTATATTAATGGTGTGTTATCAGTATAGGATGCTGTGTAAATTTATAGCATTAGATTTAAAAAAATTTATTTATTTATTTGGTACAGGGTCTTGCTACATAGCTCAGACTTGTGGTTATCCTCCTGTCTCAATCTCCCCAGCACTGGGATTAAAGATGTGCACTACCATGCCTGGTTTTGGTGGCTAGGATGGCACGCCTGGGGTTCTAGGTTCCAGAACTGGCATAGCTTGTGATACTGGAGATCAAACCCAGGTCTTTGAGCTTGCCAGGTAGGCACTTAAACCACTGAGCTATCTTCCCAGCTCTAGCATTAGAGTTTTGTTTTATTTTTCAATGTTTTTTAATAGTGCATACTAATTTTACAAAATATTTTGTGTCTTGTGATATTTTCATACATGCATACAGCATTTTTATACTTTATAAGGTTATTTAGTGCAGTATTCCTCAAATTGTGAGGACTGAAGACAAGTTCAAAAAAATCTGAATTTTCTGCTTTATCCTCATTACTTGGAAATTTATTGGATGAACAATTGTAAATAGAAAAAGTATTATATTTAAATATATTACATAATTTACATGTAATGGGGAAAATGCTGCTCTTTTCCCGCTCCATCACATTCATTGTTGTGTAGTTCACTTTTAGAGTTATCCACAGTTCACTTGGAAGGCGTCTTCGAGTGCTGATGCTGTTCATATTACACCTCATCATCTTTCATTCCTAGCTTGGGCAGGCAGTAGATTCTTGACAGTTATGAAAAGTTTGTAATTTCCTGTGTGATATTGTAAAATACATATTTTGACTTTGTCCAGCTTCCTGGCACACAACACTGAAACTCCTGAAATGTCCAGAGTGAAAAGAATGTTTGCTTTTGTATTTAATGAAACTACTGGTGGCTGGGGCAGCCTGGTGGCTTCTGGATGAGGGCTTGGCCTTGGAGCCACCAAGGGTGGTTGGAGAATTGGGGCTTCAGTCCCACTCCCTTGTGGGAGAGTCAGTTGTGTTGGTAAAACGTAGCCAGAGGTATAATTAGTTGTACCTATATAATGAAGCTTCCATAAGCCCCCCAGGACAGAATTCAGGGGAGCTTTTGGACGATTGAGCATTGGCAGTTACTGGAGGGTGGTGTACCCAGATCCTTCCTGCAGCCTTGCCCTAAATATTTCTTATTCTGAGCTGTTCATCTCTGTCCTTTGTGATATCCCTTGTAATTAAGTTGGTATAAGTAAAGTGTTTGCCTGAATTCTGTCAGTAGCTCTTAGAAATTAATCAGACTTCCGGAGGGAGGCCTGGAAGTCCTGACTCACAGCCATCTGTCAGTAGTATAGGAGACAGCCTACTTCCTACAATGGCATTTGAGTTGGAAGGCAGTCCTGTGGGACCGAGCTCACAGACTGTGAGATCTGCCACTGTCAGCAGCTAAGTAGTGTTAGACCTGAGTGGAACTGGATGAGAGGACTCCATGTCTGCTGGATTAGAGAGTCTTCTGAGGATCGATTGGTGCTGATGGGGAGAAATCGCACAGATTTTCATGAGCAGAAGTCATAGAAATAATTTCTATTGCACTGTACTGAGTGTGAGGACAGGAAAACACACTTTGGTCTATTTTTTCCCCATCTCTCAGACTTAGGTTTAGGAATATGCAAAACTTTGTAAGTGGCTACATATAACCAAATTATTATTATTATTATTTTTTAAATTAAAGAGCCTTATTGAATGAGATCCAGGGCAAGCCAGAGAGGAGACTAAGTCTTATACTACATAACTCATTATTATAGTAGTTTTATTGTGTGCATACTTGCATATGTATAAAGTATTGGTTGACCCATGACAGAACCAAGTTTAAGGATGATTTTGTCGCATCTTTTCAAGCACACTGTAGGTATTTTCATTTTGTGTAATAAAACTAATACAATACATACTAATCTTTAGCTTAGTATAAATCAAGGTTTGTCTTACTATCTTCAGAACAAAGCTGACTTGTGCTAAGAATGGGTTTTACATTTTAACAGATTATTATGATATAACATCAAGACAGGGAAACCTACGTGGCCTGTGGGGCTTTAAAATATTTATTGTCTGGCTCTTCTCAGAACAACTGCCACCATTAGTATAGCTGATGAAGTTGTTGAGTGTAGATCATCTATGATTTACTTTCATTTTACTACATTCTTAGAAGTCATGGTCATAAGACAATCTTTATAGTGTGTAGAAAATGATTTTTAAGTATAGAAACTAAGGACACCAGCATGAACACATGAATAAAGATGGAAGGATGCCTCCACCTAAAATCCCTTGAATAAAGCTCAGCTCTGGACTACAAATAACAAGAAGTGAGCATGATATTTACAAAGGAAAACTTTTCTTTGTAAACTGACCAAATTAAACTAAATTTTACAGAGAAAGGAAAATTTCATAATTGTGTTCACTAGAACCTGTAATTGACTATTTTGGTCCCAGTCCTCTTTAGTAAACGTTGTGTAAAGGTTAAACTAAGAAGTGCGGGTTCTGGAAAGAAAACATAAAGAGATTTGAAACTCAGTTCCTGTAATCCCCACCTTAATCCAGTTGTTCTGTTCTTCAGTTTCTTCTTTTATAAATTAGGCCTTGTTACCCAAGTATGTGTACAGGTATCCTTGTTTACCTGTTCAGTGATTGTTTGGGGTTACGATCTGTTCTGACTTACGTCCCACGTGGACTTACGTCCCCGGGATGGGAGCGGCAGTGCGGGCTTGTGGCTTCTTCCACAGTGTGGCACTGTGGGTTTTGCTGAGTGGACTGTACAGTACAGTAGTTTCGCTTTATGTTGGTCTGCATTGCAGCACTGCATGCAAGAGTGGGGCGAATAAAAGCGAGCTCATCCCGTTGGAGTTTCCTCTGACCGTTTTGTTGTTCTGAACACTGTAATGCGCACTACGCACAACTCCTCATTGAGCAGCCAATCAGTGAATGACCTGGCTGCAGGATGGTAACTTGGTCATTTAACAAGGAACATCTGTACTTCGTTGTGACCTTTTTGGTGGTTAAGTAAAAGAATACAGAATGTTCTCTGGCAAAAAGCAGGTCTTACATAGCTATTTGTTTCTGTTTCCCATACTTTTTTTTCCTTTCATTATGTTAAATTGATCTTTCTGAAAAATATAGTCTTTTAGTTTGCATTTATGGTTATTAAGAAATGAGCGTTTTATGACTAGACTATTTAAAATTAAACATTATTTACAACATGGGAGTACTTGTTATTCCTCAGATATTTAATACGTTGGCTTGCATATTTTGCATGAAATCAGCAAACCAAATCACCACAAGTGCACATCTTTTCTTTTTAATTACATCTTTGTGGAACTGTTGTTTTAAAATAATCCTATTTAATTTTACTTGAAAGTAAACAGGTTGATATCAATGGCTGGTGTTACCTTCTTTGTTTTCTCAGAGTCTCGTTGTCGCCAATGGTGGTTTGGGCAATGGCGTGAGCAGGAAGCAGCTGCTCCCGGCTTTTGAGAAATGTGGACTTGTGGAAGCTCTCTTAATGCCCCCGAACAAGCCTTACTCGTTTGTAAGGTACAAAACCACAGAAGAGTCTCAGAATGCTTATGTATCCCTCAATGGAAAAGAAATAGTGGATGATTTAGGACAGAAGGTCATTCTGTACTTGAATTTTGTGGAAAAAGGTATACACTTATGTTTTCATGGTTCTTGCTTTTGTGTGAGCTTTCTTTTCATAGACATAATTGAAAATTGAGTTAATGGTTCTTGCTTTTGTGTGAGCTTTCTTTTCATAGACATAATTGAGAGGTGAGTTATTATAGAACAAAGAAAAGGCTATCAGTTAGGCAGTCCCTTTCATCAAATATTCTGTAAGCATCAACACTTAATTTGGAGGCTTCCTATTTAGCTGTGTTTTTCAAGTTTAATGTTGAAGATTTAGATCAGTTTATCTCACAGTGTCTACATGGGAGCTTTCAATGAATCACTTGAGAATTTCACTGTGATCCCAGTGATTATGTGTCAGTCTTCGTATTTACGGAGGAGTACGCTTAGTGGCTAGAAATCCCTGAAACTTTGTAGTGGTGTTATCAAGTAAATTTTTGATATGATGAAAATACTTATGTCTGTGCTGCCTGCTACAGTAGTTACTGGGTAGTGTAATTGAGGAACTAAATTAGTAAATTTAAATGATAGCTTTATAGGCTAATTTACTGTATTGCCTAAGGGATTATTACCTTTTTATCCCCTAATGGAGATGGTATGTGTTGAGATGAACTTGGATGCAGACATCTCATCTTATATTCTTTTGCCCCGAGCTCCCTTCAGATATCCCGGGGATGGGTAGGTGAGGGGAAAAGGATCCTGATTCCATTATTATTTTATAAGATGAGATTCAAAGGAAAACTTTTATTTCTTTATTTTCTATTTTTTTGGCCCTGGGAATTGAACTCGGGACCTCACACTTGCCAGGCAGGCACTATGCCACTGAGCTATATCCCCAGCCCTTCAAAGGAAAACTTTTAACGTCTTCTAAAGATATCTTTAGAAATTATATCTCTCAGTGTCCCTGTGTATTTAATTTTAAATTTGACTTACGCTTCACAGATTTTAACAACTGCACACTTTGCATGTTTCTGATTGGTTTTTGAAAAGGAAATGGATAAGGAGTGAGTTTTAATTTAAAAAAATGTTGCTTTTGGATTTCTGCCAATTCATTATGCAGAACATTCAGTAAGAGATTGCACAGAATGAGTTTAGGAGCAGTCTTCATGCATAGGCCTTCATTAGAGATAGCTGTCCTTTAAGTGTGGCCATCATTTTTATAACCTTGGAAATGATTTTTAATTCAGAATAGAGCTATGTACTAAATGTTTTGACACCTACCTCCAGATAGCCACTGAGTAGCAAATATAAGAGGTACTTTATAAGACTTGAAAAACATATTTAGGAAATGTACGAATTATTTGTATTATAAATTGTCTGATTTTACGGATTTTTCTATATGATATCTGACACATTATAAGTACTTGCTATTTATTTATATTTCTGAAGTATTGTTAGTAGGGTCTGGTACATACTTACTGTCTATGACTAAAGGTGAACTGTCTAGCTGAAAAACTCAAAAATCATTTCTATAATGTGAATAATCAGATCTCCAATAAATATGAATAAATTGTTTCCTTTATCTGATAGAAAATTCTTTTCTCTTTCTGTATCTTAAAATTTAAAAGTCATAGAAACTTGTTATTTCAATATATATTGTAAATCTTCATAAGTGATATTTTTAATTTATTTAGAAAGTTGTATAATTTTTGTTATTTGCCCATACTTAGTATTTTAAAGTTCATAGAAATTTGTTATTTTAATATATATTACAAATAAATTGAAAGTGATATTTTTAACTTCTTTAGAAAGTTGTATGTTATTTTATACTTTTTCTGTTGTTTGACCATACTTAGTGTTAAAACTCCAAGAATAAAAGAATGGACATTTAAATTTTTACGTTCCATGTTCAGAAACAATCTTAACTTTTTCATATAGGTACACAGTATATATATTATGAAAAATCTTTTAGTGAAATTTAAAAAGTGATACAGTTATTTTCAAGTAGACTACTTGAATGCTATTCTGTTTGCTGAAAGGAATTTTGATCTTGGTCTTTATTTTTGCAATTTAACAACTTGTGTGCCATGAAAGTTCTTACTTCGGAAAATGAAGATTAGAAGTTTCATGGACTGATAAATAGCTGTTGGATAGAATTCTTTGTGCACAGGAACTTCCGTTTTTATATGTGACTGTTTTCACTTGGTTTCGTGTAGTGCAGTGGAAGGAGCTGGGGCTTCAAGCCTTACCTCCAGGTCTCACAGTGGTAGAAGAAATTATTTCTTCTGAAGAAGAGAAAATGCTTTTGGAGCTCATTAATTGGACAGAAGATATAAACAATCAAAATTGTAAGTAAAAATGTCAAAATATGACATTAAAATTTTTTACAAAATGTCCTATTACTACTCCTCTTTTCTTCTGTTTTATTAAAACTCTTTCCATGAGATCGTTGAACGTATCCTGAATCCAGTGTTGGGTAAGACATACCAGCAATTTGCAGGGACAAGAATAATAGATATGATGGTATTGATATAGCTGTCAATTTTGAACTCCAAGCTGATGAGTATGCCTAGCCAGTGTTTGAGCAGCTGACTTGTGTAAGGCCTTTCCCTGTGTCCTTGTCACACAGGGCATGTCCTCACTCCAAGGCATGCTACCTCAGTGGGATCATCAGTCTAGCCCTGTGCCACTGTAGTGTCAGCGGCGCCTCTTTCCACATCATGAGCAGTCTCATAAGTGATGGTGTGCATGATTAGCTCTCTCATATTGATTATGTGAAACTCTTTTAAGTGTTTGTTGCAATTTTAGACTTGAAAGAATGACATATCTAGGGCTGGGGAGACAGTTCAGCTGTCTAAGTGCTGGCCTCGTAAGTGCAAAGACTCGGGTTCGATCCCCATACTGCATGCTGTGCTGGCCCTGGGTGCCAGCTGACCACCCAGTCTGGGCGCGGTGGTGCAGGCCTGTAATCCCAGTGCTGGGGAGGCTGAGGCAGGAGGAGCACTATGAGTCTGAACTGCATGAGACCCTGTCCCAAGTAAGTAAATAAATAAGATTTTTTTTTTTTTTAAAGAAAAGGATAACATATATAAGGCCGGCCAAATAGCAGATTAAAGTGCCTGCAAGCAGGCTCAGGAGCTGGGGGTTCGATCCCACGGCCTGCCATGCCAGCCCCATCCCCAGGGTACACTGAGATGGCAATTGAGAATGGGCGTAGTGGCACGTGCCTGTAATCACAGCAGTTGGGAGGCTGTAAATAGGAGAATCACTATGAGTCCGATCTAGTAGTGAGACCCTGAACACCCTATACACACACACACACACACACACACACACACACACACACACACAAAATGGTAAAATGTTCTTAAAGCTGGGTGTGGTGGTGCACACCTGTTATCCCCAGCACTTAGAGGCTGAGACAGGAAGATCACTGTGAGTTTGAGGCCAGCTTGCACTACATATTAAGAACCTGTCTCAAAAGGAACCAAAAAAGAACCAAAAAAAAAAAAAAAAAAGTTCTTAAAGGCAATAATTTAGGGCTGGTGAGATAGCTCAGTGGACTAAACACCTGCTTAGGGCAAGCACAGGAACCGGGGTTCAGTCCCCAGCACTCACATGCCACGCTGACCCTGCTCCTGGGCCTGCTGAGTCACCCACCAGACCAGGTGTGGTGGCACACGCCTGTGCTCCAGCACTGAGGAGGCTGAAAACAAGAGGATCACTACGAGTCTGAGCTGCATTTTGTGACCCTGTACCAAATACATAAAAAAAAAAAAATTAGAATATTGATTTTTTTTTTTTCTCATGTAAGTCACAAAGGGCAAGCTTTATTATCTACGTGCATGTAGGGCGGTCTGAACACGCAGGAACAGAGTGCGCCTTAAGCATGGTGGGTATAGTTTTTAAAGGCAAAAACCACAAAAGGGGGAGGGAGCAAGCGGTGTACAGAAGCAGATTGCATTGGTTAGTTTTAGGATGACCTTTAAAATAATTGGTGGGTTTGAATATATGACTTTTTAAGGAAATCAAGAAGGGGTAGATAATGGGTAACTATGAGCTAACTCTGTGGTTCCGGCGGTATTTCGAGAATGGGTGGGTTTAACTGAACATTGTAACCTATCTCACAAGAATGTCCTAAGCCTGGAGGCATTGTTCCTTCAAGTGTGGCCGAAGGTTTTATAACTCCATCTGGAGTTTCTGGAACATGGGTTACTCAAGTCCTATGGTCAGGAGCCAGTGGGTGGTCTCTTTTGACTGGAGTTTGAACTTTAAAAACTATTTGGGCCTTACATTCCCCCCTTTTTGTGTTGGAAATCTCTAATTCTAGAGATCTGAGTTGTTGGTGGTTAGGGCCTCATATTGTTGTCGAATAATCATCAGTTTGACATTACCTATTTGGTTGCAGACGAAATCTATGACTCTATTAATTATACAGGGCCCAATAGTCACTGCGAGGAGCAGAAGTATCAGTGGTCCTGTCAAGGCATTCAATAAGGTAGTCAGCCATGGGGAACGGTTAAATCAAGATTCAAAAATACCTTGAGTTTAGCGTTCTCTCTGTCATTGTCCTAGACCTTTTTTAAGCTCAGCCATTGATTCTTTTACTACTCCAGTATGGTTGGCATAAAAACAACATTCTTCTTTTAGGGCTGCGCATAACCCTCCTTCTTTGAGTAGTAGTAGGTCTAATCCTCTACGATTTTGTAAAACCATTTTTGCTAGTGAACCGAGGGATTCTTCCAACTTAGACACCGAGTCTTGTAAATTGGACAAGTCCTTGTCAGCTTGTTCACTAAGCCATCTAAAGTTTTGGTCTCCAACCACTAAACCTGAAATACCTAGACCCATGGATCCAGCAACTCTGAAACCAAGCAACATGGGCACAAGCACAGGATTAGCTCTAGAGAATTGACACCCTGTTTCTAAATGTCTGAGTCCCTCTTCTAAGGAGTACCAGTATATAGAGCGGGACTAGGGGAAAGACAGAACCAAAGAAACAAACACATAATAATATCAACAGGATACAGTAACCATTTAGCAGGTCTGGAATACAATAACCTTTTGAAGTTTGTAATTATAAAAAACACTAGTCAGAACATTTTGTAGACCCATTAGTAGATATCTCTTAAATGTGAGGTTTGATCCTTTTTTTTTTTTTTTTAATCTTTTATGGCCCTTGTGTATTGCTTCAAACAAGTTGGACTTTTCTATTATTACTGGAGTATATGAATTACTGGGCCTACGGAAAACACTGAGTATTTTCCAGATTGCAAGTGGGCCTTTGGCTGGGTAACTACTGACAAATCTGCATAAGCATCTATTGAAAGTTAGAATATTGATTTTAAAAAAGGATAGTGACTTTTTTATTCTAGGACAGGGTCTACAGGATCTACAGGGTCTCACTACGTAGATCTCATTCATAGTGATCCTCCTGTTTACAGCCTCCCAAGCACTGGGGTTAAAGGCGCGCCACCACGCCCAGTTTCAATCACAGTCTCACTGTGCCCCAGGGGTGGGGCTGGAATAGCAGAAAAGACAATAACTTAACAAATGCTACTATTACCAAAGTAATTTTCACTGATTATGTTGGCTGAAATAGATAAAAGACTGTAGTAATGAAAAAAACTGTGGGAGAAGTTAAAAGAAGCTTCTGGACCAAGCCAAGGACTTGTCCCCTCAGGATATTAGATTCAATCATAAATTTATCCACAGTTTGTATTCTCGCTAATTCCTATGATAAGTGGAGGTTTTTAAAAAATATACATATTTATAAAAAAAAAAAAACTAGTTCTATTTCTTCTAAATAGCTTATTTCTCTTCACCTAGGTCAGAAATCTTTAAAACACAGACGAGTAAAACATTTTGGCTATGAATTCCACTATGAGAACAACAATGTAGATAAAGACAAGCCATTACTTGAGGGTAAGTAATTGTTGGTGAATAATAAATGTGGGTTTAGAAAAAGGATTTTTTTAAAAAACAATTTTATTGTGAAACAAATAGCAATGAGACAGTTTCAAAACTGATTATTAGCACAGTTTAATTAACACATTGCATACTGTTCTGGTTATTCATTGTACAAGATACAGACATGATACCCTGTCCACAGACGCTATTAGAACAGATCTCTCTATTCTTTGAATTAAGAGAATGCAGCTGTATCTCTATCCTATTTTGAATATACAGATACCAAATGGTCATTCATTTGTATCCCCCTTTTTTGTTTAGTTTTGTCAGAGAAGGGTATTCCATTGTCATTTAAATATTGTAGGTGCGGTGGAAGTTCTCACTCAGACAGCGGGCTGTGCTGAGTCTGGCCAGGCTGGGGAGGTCTGAAGAACACGGGGAAATGCCTCTCACGTGGTGGGCCTGGCTTGGAGCGGTGGGTGGCGCAGGACAGAGCAGAAGCTCTCCCCCACACTCGCAGGGCCTGGGCTTGGTCGGATATGTCAGAAGTTGTTGACTTGAGGCTTTTATAGCTTGCCATATTAATATGGCTTTACTTTTTATATTTTGTTTTTATACTTAACACCAAGATAAAGCAAGACCTATATAACAAGAAATGTGACTTTTGGATCTGATAAGGTCAATCAAATCCCCTCAGGATTTATCCTGAGATCCTCCTGAGATCCTATACCTCAGATTGTAGATCCTTTGTCAGTGTCAGCCATGTGGATGAGTCACAGCCATTGTTTGACCAATTTGCTCTATTTGAAAGCCTGAGAGCATGTTTTCTGTCCATGTGACTCTCCTTAGGCACACTCTACATCATTGATCACTTTCCTCTTTGGCCCCATAATGGCCTTGATCAGAAAATTTGGGACACTGCCGAGTTACATGAGGTTACAGTACAGGTTCATCTATGTTCTGGGTCTTCACTGGCCTTGAAAGGCTAGGGCTAAAATGTCGGTTGTCCTTGTGACCCTTCTTAGGAAGAAGATTTATTTTATTGGAAGTTTATCATAGTTGGGGGTGTATGTTTCATTTGTCATTTTGGGTAAACTTTCCAGAAAATCCATTGAATATGAAGCATTTAAATTAGGAAAGTGCTCAGTTATGACTATTAGATAAATCACATTAAGTGAATGGCTCCTCCTCACCATTATCGTTCTTTCCCGCTTCATCCCTCTTAACATTGTGTGCTGCTATTGTTCTAATGCTTTTGAAAAACAAATACGTGTGTACCTACTAGAGTACGTGGTTTACTGTATGTAGGATTGTATCAGATGGTATGAAGTGTGTATTCATGTGTTACATGCATCATTCCAACTTTTCTCCACTGTCTTAGCAATCTTATAGTCTTTCCTTGTACTGAATGTCCCGTAATGCTGTATTTAGTTCCTTATTGGTAGACATTTAGCTATTTCTAGTTTTTAGCATTTACAAGGAGCACTACAGTAAATACTTTTATGTATGCCTCTTTATGTACTATGAGAGAGTTACTTAAGAGATTACTAAGAAATAGAATTATTGTATCAAAACCTATATTTTCTTAACAGTGTACGAACTGCTCCCTGAAACATCTGTGCCAATATATTCTCACCAAGTATGCCCTCTTTCCCCCACCTTTACCAACGTGTGGTATTATAAAGGCTTTAAATTTGTTATTTTCAGATTAATAAGGAGCTGGGCCATTTACATGTGTTTCATTGTCTATACATTCTTTTCCATATTCTTTACCAGTTTCTAAAAATGGGTTCTCGGACAGATTTACTATAGATTTTTATAAACCTTGGGTATATTTTTTTGTTGGAGTAATGTTTTTATGAACTTGGTTTTGTTAAGGTTTTTTCATCTATTGTTATATAATATTTACAATTCCCATGAAAGTTAGATTTTCAGAAATGTGGTATTTTTAAAGGCAGTGATTAAAATAAATGAAACGCAGTAAAACAACAAAAAAGAAAGTGGTCAAGTGAATTTCTTCACTCTAATATACAAGTTGAGCATCCCTGATCTGAAAATTTAAAATTCAAATTGCTCCAAAATTTGAAACTTATTGAACATTAATGTCCTGTCTTTAGTCCTTGTATGTACATAAATAGGTATGTATGAAACATGAATGGAGTCCCTCTTTCCACTTGGGTTGCATCTCTAAGATATCTATGATGTATATGAAAATATTCCAAAATATTTTTTAAAAAGTGTAATTTGAAACATATCTGGTTCCAAGTACTTTGGATAAGATATATTCAGCATGTATTACTATTTTTAAAGAAAACTAAAATTGTTTAAAAAATTATTCTTTTGGACTTTTCAATTTGATAAAATCAAAGGTATAACTTTGAAAGGTTCTTAAGAAAAATTTAGTTTTTAATTATTTTGTTTTAGGTTTATTGTTATATAAATGGACCTGAGTTACTTTTCTGTCTTTGCTGAGACAAAATACCTGACACCCAAAATAAGGGAAGGAAAGGTCTATTTACCTCACAGTTAGTGGAGGTTTCAGTCCATACTTGGCTGACTCCAAGGCAGAGTGGCACGTGGTAGAGGGCAGCCATTCATGGCAGCGGAAAACAGCAAAACAGCCAGAGCTGAAAGGGAGGAGCAGGCTGTGGCTGCCAGCACACCTCTCTCTCTCTCTCTCTTTTTCTTTTCTTTTTTTTTTTTTGGCGGAACCGGGGATTGAACTCAGGCCCTTGTGCTTACCAGGGAAGCACTTACTCCACTGAGCCATCTCCCCGGCCCACGCCTCTCTTACACTGCATCCAGGCTGTCTGTTTTCAGTTAATCTGCACACTGGATCATGTATTAATCACAAATTCTAGAAGCTGCCCCAGTGACTGCATGAGGCTTTGAGGGAGAACTAGACACAAACCATCACAGGATCTGACCGCTATACTGAAATCTGTGTGGTTTTTAATCAGAGTGATCCTCTCCCCCCAGCCCTGGTAAAATATACAAAGTAAATATTTTAATATATATTGCCTTATTTTTATGATTACTGACTTTAGGTCTTCCTGATATTTGTGACAGCTTTCTGGAGAAATGGTTGGCAGAAGGTTACATTAAACATAAACCTGACCAGCTGACCATAAATCAGTATGAACCTGGGCAAGGTAAGTATTTCTTGTTTTAAAATTCCAATCATGTATTTCAGAACCAAGGATGTTATATAACTTTTCAAGATCAAAGATACTATTAGCTGAAACTAACACAGATTACTTTGCTTCCCCCGTTCTCCCCTGTCCTTTCCTCCCCTTCTCCCTCCTCCCTTTGTCTTCTCCTTTCCGCCCATCTCTCCCACCTCCCTTCCTTTGCACCCCTATACCACTGAGCTATATCCTGGCCTTATTTATTCATTGCAGGACTGAGAATTGAACCCAGGGTCTTTGTAGTGAGCTACATCCTCCGTTCTATAAAAAGTACTTTTATTTTGAGATATTTCCCCAGGCTGAGCTCAAATATATGATCTTCCTGCCTCAGCATGAGAGTAGCTGGGATTATCGGAATGAGCCTCCTTGCCTTGCCCTTAATCTTCTGCAAATCTACATCTCAATTCCGGGAGGAATTTTGATCGAAGAGCTTAAACAGACTGACACCAATGAGTGTGTGATTTTTTTTTTTTTTTTTTGTTTGTTTCTTTTGCCTTGTTCCTCTCTCAACACTGTGTTTAGATAAGTGGATTGCTTGAAAAATGTGAGACACGCATAACGGAAGAATCAAATAACTACAGAAGGAAGAGGGCTGACAGTTGGATGAGCTTTTGTTTTCTTTTTCTATTTGAGAGTATGGAATGCAACTCTAGGATAACAGTAATGAAAAATATTTAAGTTATAAATTTCTTGCCTTTGTTAACAGCATCCTCATCTGATATCATAATGAAATGATACTTAAAAGTTTCATAAATACAGCAGTTATAGTTTGTTTGCTTTTTCCATCTTTATCGTGATGCACAGGTATTTAAACTGCTTATGTCCCTGTCTTTCCCTGGTCTGTTAACGTGAGGACAGGACTCTCTTGCTTTGTATCCTCTTCCGTGTAGCACGCTTCTTTACTCCCATGTGTCTACCTAGCAGACCTGTAGGTCAGTGGAGGTCGCGTGTCCTAATTATTGATACTCTTGGTCTTCTGTCATGGTGATGCTTTTGTTTTCCAAGGACCTGGGACTTTAGTTCTCCAGGGGAAGAAAGACTGTCTTTCTCTTCCCCATCTTCCTGTGGCACTGGGATTGGATAAGTGTCCTAAACAGTGACTTCTGACTCTTACTTTAGAGTTAAATTCCAGTGGTGCCTTAAGTTATTTAAGGTATGAAGTCAAAATATTTTTAGTATGATTTAATTCAGGGTTTTTTTAAACCATATTTGCCATGTTGCCTGTTAACTAAAGTTACGGTACCTTTTATTTTTTTTTTTAAATATTTATTTATTTATTGGATACAGAGTCTTGCTATGCAGCTTGAAATCATAGTGATCCTCCTGTCTCAGCCTTCCCAGTGCTGGGATTACAGGTTTGCACCACCACGCCTGATTTCAGGACCTGCACAGCAAGCCAGGGTTCCTGGGCTGGTACAGCATGTGGTACAGCATGTGGTACTGAGGATCGAACTCAGGTCCTTGTGCTTGCCAGGCAGGTGCTTAGACCGCTGCGCTATCTCCCCAGTCCTGTAGTACCTTGATAACCAGTGTTTTCACCATAATTATGTAAATCTGCATTTATAGTAGTCATTTTAAGTCTACTAAAAGGAAAAATGAAGTAACACGTTATCTTATTGTCTATTTCAGGAATTCCTGCGCATATTGACACCCATTCTGCTTTTGAGGGGGAGATCGTTTCTCTCAGTTTGGGGTCAGAGGTAAATGTTCAGTCATTCTTTACTACCAATAAAACATTGGGATGTTTTACCTGGTACGGAGACTCTTCAGAGGGTTACTCACATCCTAAATTAAAATGAATTAAGCTTTCTAAATGAAAAGTAAAGGCATTGATAACACTTTCATTTCCTGGAAGATTTAAATGTCATAGCGTCTAAGTATCCTCAGATGTAGGAAAACACCCGGAATTTTATTTTCCGCACATCTCACTTAGCTGTTAAATCCCTTGGGCTTGGTCAACTTTTGCCCTGATGCAGCTTTGCCATCTAGTGGCAAAAGGTAGTAACTGTATACGTTAGAAAAAACTAAAATGAATTTAGAATCTAATTCAAGCCTTTTAAAAACTCTGAGCCGAGCCGCAGAAGGTGCTATCTGCATTATTACATATGAAGAATAAGAAGCTCATATTCACTCAGTGATTTGTTTCTGTAGCTGTACTTTGTTTGAACTGTGAAAGTTCAAAGATATGATTTAAATGGTACATACAGATTACAAAATGCAGACAGAATTTTAGGTATATATTAGAGTTTCAGATCTGTAATAATTCTTGAGATACAGGATCATCTGATCTGAACTGTGGATTGCTTCACGTCTGATCTTGCTCCCGGAGGGAAATAATGTTTAGGAGTCTGCCACCCACGCCAAGGTTTGATTCGCTCAAACCATCTTGTCAAATACACATATAAATTCTTAATGTAGGAACTTTCAGGGGCAAAAAACAAAAGAGCTCTTCTGTGTGACTGATTTTTTAGCCTTTATCCCTGCTTGTAACTTTAGAGGACCAGTAAAAAATCTTTTGTTTTTTTTTTCTTCATAACTGCGTAACTAATTGAGAAAGGAGACAAAAGTAAATGGAAATCAGAGCATCAACTTTACTACTGAGAAAACTGATAGATAGCAATAAAGACTTGTAGATCTGTGGCCAAGGAGGTTTAATCCTTCATCTCTGAACTAAAGAAAAATGCCAACCATGTCACTGGCACAGCTACTAGCTGGAGGCCTCCCCATGGAGGCAGAGGCTGCCCCTGAGAGGTAGGATGTGAGGGAGCATGGGTTAGATCCCATGAGCCAGCTGGTTCTGAAAAAAGAGAGAGGGAGCCCTGGGTGAAGGGATGCTGGCTCCAAGCTCCTGACCGCCGAAGCCACTGCTTCCTCCCTAGGCAGTTGGAAGTGAAGAGATGGAGAAAGACTGGGAGTATATTTCCTGCTTTCCTAACCCTCCCAGGGATGCAGTGAGGACTCTGTGTGCTCTCAACACCCGAGAAAGTCAGTGTGGAGTTCCTAATGAAATGTGGTAAAGAAGAGAAATCTTGCCCTCTAGCTGAATTGAAAAGCTGCAGTTATTTTTTCTGATTGCTGATACTGGAGGCAAGAACAGGAGTGGTAGAGTTCCTAGTGAAAGCCATCTTTGTAATTGCTGGAAAGCAAGTGTGCTTTGAGGTGTGACAGGAAGAGTAGTTTTTTCTTTACAAGATAGCTTTGGAGAGTAAGTGAGTTTTTGGAATTTTGAAAAAAAAATGCTTGCTACAGCTTATTGTGCTATTTCAAGTAGATCACTAAATTTAGCCATTTGTTTAAGGCCTAAAATGGGATTAATGGCCTCTCTTTCCTGGCTGAAGTAATGTGATGTAAATAAAGAGGTGTTGAATGGTAAGTGGTTTTCAAATGCATACGTGCAAGGCTCCTCACTTAAAGCCTTCACTTGTGCTGCCTGAAAGGAGGACTGCAGGTGGCCACTGGAAAAAGGGCTTTTCCTTTTTCTTGTGTTTAGTCACTCCTGTGCTGTGGTTGCTCTGCTACGTTTTTTCTTCCTTGATGCTTTGTAATTACTTGAATGCTTCCCTGATGCCTTTTCTAGACCTAAAATCTGGATACCAAACCTATTTGTGTAATTTTCATGTGTTTGCTTATTTTCTGTGATTTGTTTTGGCTCTGATTTCTCGTTTCATTGTGCTATGATTGGACGATATCCACGGAAAGATTTGATTCTTTTGCATTCCTTAAGCATGTTTTATGGGCTACCATGTGGACTGTTTTGGAGAAAGACTTGTGTGCTGCTCTGAAGCAAGTGTACTTGGTTGTTGTTAGATAGAACACTGTGTAGCTATCTTCTGAGTCCATTTGTTAGAATGTTTCACTCAAATCTCATATTTCTTTGTTGCCGTTTGTCTTGTTGATTGATTTGTGACAGTGGGATAGCAAGGTCCCCCACTCAACTTTTTCTTTTCAAATGGTAGCAAATTTTTACTAAATGGGCCCTGCAAAGTGAGTTTGGGCCAAATAAAAGTAGGAAAAGATGTGTACCTTATATAGCACAAGGGCGGGCCATCCATGCAGGAGAGAACACAGTGGCAAAAAACTCAGTGTAGACTGTTGTTTTTTAATCATTCATTCCTCAGGCTGCTGTCAAGTCTAGGTTCTCTCTGCCTAGCATGATGGCTTGTGGATTTGTGAGGTGCTCCCTGTTCTGGAGGCCCAAGGCCATTTACGCTTGGCTGCTGCAGTGGTACAAGCTGAGGTGTGTCCTTACTTAGATTGGTAGTCAGAGAAAGCAGTCTGCTCTTTGGTCTGTGCTGGATACAGGCAGCAGGTATGGTTCAAGCAGACTAGTGTTCCAACCAGGCTGTGTCTGAAATCCACACAAACCGCACCCAGCTTTTCACTGTGGAGCGTGGGGCCCATGTCTTCCTGCCATGAGCTTTTTTTTTTTTTTTTAATTTATTGAGAAATAAATAGCAATGAGACAGTTTCAAGACTGATTACTAGTGCAGTTTAAATAATTAATACATTGTATATTGTTGTGTTAGTGGTTATTCATTGTACAAGATGATACCCTGTCCACAAACACTATTAGAACAGATCTCTCTATTCATTGAATGAAGAGAATGCCGCTGTATATCTATCCTATTTTGAATATACAGATATCAAATGGTCATTCATTTGTATCCCCCTTTTTTGTTTAGTTTTGTCAGAGAAGGGTATTCCATTATCATTTAAATATTGTAGGTGTGTGAATTCAGCAAAATATTCCATTATATTTTGGAATATATAGTCCATAATAGTAGTGGGTTTTCCGTAAGACTGGCAATGTCAGAAGTTGTTGACTTGAGCCTTTTACAGCTCAGCATATTAATATGGCTTTACTTTTTATACTTCATTTTTATATTTTGCTGCTGGATGGTTAATACCAAGATAAAGCAAGACCTATATAGTAAGAAATGTAACTTTTGTATTTGACAAGGTCAGTCAGATCCCCTCAGGATTTACCCTGAAACCTTGTACAGTTTGTAGATCCTTTGTCAGTGTCAGCCATGTGGATGAGTGATGGCCATTGCTTGACCAATTTACTATGTGTGAAAGCCTGAGAGAATGTTTTCTCTCCATGTGACTCTCCTTAGGCACACTCTACATCATTGATCACCTTCCTCTGTGGTCTCATAATCTCCTTGATCAGAAAATTTGGGACACAACTGAGTTACATGATATTACAGTGCAGGTTCTCCTATGTCCTAAGTCCTCACTGACCTTGAAAGGCTAGGGCCAAAATGTTTTCTGTCCTTGCAGCTCTTCTTTTTCTCAGATTTTTGGTCTGCAAGCTTAAGTTGTTAACCCTCCAGAAGAGAAGCTTATTATTATTACCCTACAACATAGGCAGTTCAGCTTAACCTTACTATCTGTCTGAATATCAAACATCTTAGGCATAATATGGAACAGGTATTTTCCATCAAGTATTGATATGTTAAACTTTAAGTCCCTACAGAATATGAAGAAAAAATAAAAAAAATAGGAATAAACAGTTATATATTTTATAAAGAAATTTAGAAATCTAACCATGCACAGCATTGTAACAGGACAGTCCTGTGACTTTTTTTTCTTGTCTTTTGTTTTCATTTATTCCTTCCCCCCTTTTTAAACAAATATCTACTTGAGAGACAGTATGGCAGTAATTGGTATGACATGATAAGCAGTACATATTTAGAAGACCAGAATGACAGGCATTCCAAGCATGACCCTAGTAGTATACATTGCTATCTTCAGTGCAGTTGCTTAGTTCACGGGTATCAGTATATATATTTAGTCAGGGTGAGAATCCTACCAATTAACTGCTAGTGTCCAGAAACCTGCGGAAGATTCTCAGGATCATTTGCCTTACCCATCTTGTGCATATAAGTGTATGACTTTGCCCCTGTCACGTTTCCTAGCTTTTCTCCTTGTCCTCTCTTTGTTGTCTCATCCTCAAGTTCTCACTTTCCTTTTTTTTTGGCAGAACCTGGGGTTGAACTTAGGCCCTCGCACTTGCCAAGAAAGCGCTTATTCCCCTGAGCCATCTCTCTGGCCCCTCATTTTCCTTTTAATTGTGTTACACCTTTATATATTTGTTTCTTTTCTTTTCTTTTTTTTTTTTTTTTTTTGAGTTCTTGTACTAGGGAGACAATACGATACTAACACATGTGGGTCTGGTTTATTTCTCTTATGAGTGTATCTTCAAGTGCTGCCATGAGCTTAAATGGTGGAGGGGGTCTCTGTGTGCCTTGTGCTCACTTCCGACTGTCTTGTATGCCTATCTCTCATCCAGTCACTGTGAGAGGGTCACACTGGGAACCCTGACGTAGAGTTGGTTTTCAGCTCTTCTGAGGTTGTCTTAAATACTCAGCCCATTTTTGAAATGTTCCTGAGTAAACATTCTCAGACCAGAATGTGCATGCTGTGGGGCCCAGCATTGCGGGGCCAGTTTGTAGCCTCTCATGGCAGCTCCAGCTCCGTGGATTTATCTTGTGTCTGTGGATGCAGGTTCCCCCTCCCCAGGACCTGAGGAAAGCTTCCAGACTGCTGCTTTTTTTTTTTCCCCTCTACACTGCGGTTCTGTTTCCCTAACTTCTCTGTAGCTTCTAATTTTCCTGTCAGCTTCCTGATTCCTAGTGTCATATTACGTGCAGGCTGTGGGTCCTGAGAGGGCAATAGGAGATTATGAAAAATTGAG